ACGCAATACATTTTTAAACTGTTCAAAAATGGTCACAGAACTTATGTTTCTCAAGATATTCTTAATAACGAAATGGATGAGATATTTCACAGCCGTGTAGATTCTATGGTTTTCCCCCATTGTATTCCTGAATTATGTACAATCCTACATCATGTATACATACTTACACTACTCTTCTACCCCATACGTCACATACAGTTTTTTTCTGTTTTTTGACTAAATAAATCTCATCTAAACACTATTTTCCGCCATTGAATGATTTCATCTAATAAGATAATCTGGGTACTTGCGAAAATTTCTTTCAAAAAGCTTATTATATTGTATATGAAACTTCCAAGAAGCTTCGTATTTATGAAAGATTAAAACTGAACGATTTTGGAAGTACGTACAACGTACTTTACAAATTACCCTAATTACTTACCTGTGTATTTTCATTCTAATCCCAAATGTCGAGTCCAAGTTTTCCTCATATTCTCACTGTTCAATGTCTGTACTCGTAGAAGTTTACTGTTGTTCCTCCTGAAACAATGCGAAAAAACATACTTATCATTCACTTTAATTCCACTACTTACCACTAGTTGCCTACTTACCGCTTCAATGCCTTCTATCCACATAATGGTTGTAATATACTCTGGAAGTGAAAGTAAAGAAAAGTGTTTAAAAGTTAACATTCAAATCTATATAACAGGATGAACATTTTTTTTATCATACCCGATTTTTGATGCTGTAGGGTTGAACAATCTGTACATTTTTACAAGAACACAAAATTCGGTATGTATACCTCACAATTTAAAAAAGTGACACACTATCCGAACGCCGCATTCTTACTCTTTCAAAAAGGAGCCCGTTTCTTATTTAATATTGAAATTTGAAACAAAATAAAAACAATTAAGAATTTTGAATTATTTTTGGTAATGTGATTATATTTACCACACTTTTAAGATTATTTTACCGCTTCAATAATAATTTTAAATTTCGCTATTAAATGATTATTATGCTTGTCAAAAAGTCATTTAAAAAGGGTCACAGGGTTGCCTGATTGGGGATTTTTTTTTCCCCAAAATGGGAATTTTCTTTCGTGGTGGGGCAATAAGGGGGACATAAATGGACTGGAATTGTTTGGGGATTTTGTGGGGAAATTATTTTCATCCGAGGTCGAGATAGATACATTATTCTCTCCCATCTTTATGTATCAAAAAGAAAAAAATAAGCGACAGGTATAGAGAAAGAAAAACATGAGAAAAACGAAGATAATGTAGGGCTTCAAGCAGCGCAATGGAGGATGAGTGATTGATTTGAATTATTTGAATTTAAGGGGAGAGCCAATGGTATCATCAGGGACAGCTCATGTTGATTCATAATTTGGAGAATATTTTTCGTTTCAAAATTGTATAATTTTGTTTCATTGGAGAGGTTACTGTGAAGGAAAGGAGGTGAAATTCCGTAGAGGTGTTGGGGAAATGTTCGTTTTTTTATAAAGAATGTGATCTGCCACTATTTTCTGCAATTCCGATTACGTCTGTATTGGCCAACCGCTGACGTCATGATATACACATACATATATATACACACACACACAAAAGAAGGCAAATTCAATTCAAATTCACACATACACTTAAGTGCCATGTTTACATTCGAACTTTCGATTAAACAGTTCAATATCTGTAAATTCTTTTAATCACTTGTATTGTTACTTTTTATTTCTTTATATATTTAATTTCAATAACAGTTAAAAAGTGAGTGTCGTGCTATGGGGAGAAGTGAAATGTGTCCACGTTTTCTCGAGCTGTGCCATGACTACCCTGCGGCCCACAACAGACTACACCGAGGAATGTGTTGCCAGAAATGTGCGACGAGAAATGTGGAAAATCGAAACATAGAACACTTATCGACTCCCCACACACTTGAAAGAGTTTTCTCGTTCGCCTCTGCAAAGGTGAAAGAGTTCCTCGCTCGAGTCGGTCAGCGAGCGGGTTTTCCCGGACACATTTCTATCCCTTTATTTGTTATATGGCATTAGCTGCCGACGGAAAGCACTAAACAGTGCGAAGAAACAACTGAAATTGTAATATTTACCATTAAAAGATGTGATAAACAACCACATTTTTTAAATTTCTTACTTGAATTTTTATTCTTTAAACGGAAATGAACTAGGACAAACTTGTGTGGAAAAATATTATTTCTTGAAATAGTACATAATCAGCAATATAAAAATAAAGATTTGAAGCAAGAAACTTGAAAGTGTATTTTGAAAGAAAGAAATTACTTTATTTTTTCTTAATTCACATTTATTTATAAATTAATATATTAATTGTGAATTTTATTATAAATTATTTGATCATCATTTATTCATAATTCAACCAATAAATATAGTAAATAGACGAGATAGAAACATCGAAGCTCAAGAAAATTTGCATAGAGACATAGATTGTACTTCTTCCCTATACGTCACATACAGTTCCTTTTATTACATTAAATAATGATTTATATGCAGTGCAATAATGTATTTCTCTGTAGGCAATTCGAACTCAAATAGGTGATGTATGATTATGGTAATAGAACAAGCATTTCACGGTAAAAATTACACAAAAACATTTAATAAAACAAGAAATTTGGACTCGCAACTGATCTCATAGCTAACTGCTGTCAACACTCTCGGCTTGTCACATAAGTATTTCGAGTCATCAATGCCACATTTCTAGTGTGTGGACACAGCCTCACCGGCCTCTTTCCTCATTTCTCGCAACACATCTCTCGGTCTAGTCTGTTGCCGTCCCAACGTGTGGCGAAGCGTCCAGTTAAATTATTGTATGGCAGACCATCAGCCGTGACATGGTTATCCACTCAGGAGCTTCAATACCAAAATTAAAGCCGTAACGAAGCTCTACATTGGATAACCTCTTCCATCTGATGATGTCACAACTCACTATAATTAAATCGGACAATAGCAATCCGCAAACCAAGAATGCCAAACATTTTCTTGAAACTCCGTGGATCAGAGGCGTATCTACGATGTGGCAGACCTGGCACGTGCCATACGCGCAACTTACAAGGGGTGCTATTTAGAGTATACCCGCTTAAACAAATATGAACAACCTTAATTTGAAGTATCCTGACAGGGGCGTAAATTCTGTGCTTGCCAAGGGCGCCCGAATACGTAGATACGCCTCTTCCGAGAATATAATATCATTGCTTTATATCACAATGGATGTCACTTAGGATAATAACGACAGAGCTCAACTGACCTCGCATTTTCAGTTAGAAGCATGACGATGAACTCCTGCTATAGAACTATCATATGCTAATATATCAAATGAATTGGTACATCACAGATTCCAGCTTGAAAGTTTGTTCTGGATGCAAATGAACGAAAGCAAAAGAAGTTATATTGCCCAAAACTAATTTCGGTTGAGGTCTGCCGTTAATCTGTACTCCCCAATTGAATTAAAATCGACCTCGACTAAGTGGGGCAGGTCATGATGTACTAGTGGCAAACATGCTACCTTCCCTTCTTCAGGACTAAAGCGATTGAGATTTGCGCACATATGTAACTCCTCCCACCTACACCCACACGCTCGCACGCACGCGTACTTATATACAAACGCATATGATACACACGCATATGACGCTAGGCTCTTATTGAATATGACAACAATCGCCATTTATTTTAGCCTTTTGCCTGTGGTTGTAACACATTAAAAGAGTTATAGCATTACCCCTAAAACAATTTGATTTCAAATTCAGATTTTTTGATTGTCCACGTTTAAGTTGAGTTTCTCTGTAACCTTTCTTTGTTTTTTCAGCACCCTCTCCCATGTACCTCTTGACCATTTTATGTGCTTCGGGCCACCTAGAGCAGGTGCAGTGAAAGAATTCTCATCACTTTAGAGTGCACTATAACAAAGAGGAGCAAGCAAATCAATGAACCAATCCCTCCTCCACTCATACACACTTCCCACTATGAGACTTATATGTTCCATTCCATGCATTTCCTATCTCTTCAGCCTTCCCATCTTCTCCACCATTCATAGTAATGTCATGTGTCAAATATGTAATAATGTCTCAAAGTTTAAGGTTCTTTGAAATAAGGGGGATTATCAGATTACTGTGGAACAGGTTTACTACCTAATCTATGGAGAAGGATCATGATGGTGATAAGTATAAATAATCAGAGAAATATGACAAACTTCCGTTTAGGGGAAGTGTGATTTGAGAAGGAACATATTAATATAAAAAATAGTTATTATGATTAAAAAACAACAATGAAACCAAGTAAACAAACCGTAATAAACAGAGGTGGTTTGTTATATCCTAGTTGTTCATTTGTTGTTTTGTGTTGAGTTTACGCTCTTATAAAAAAAATCTAATTTGATTGCAATAAACAGTTACTTGTATCATCATTTTACTTACAATGATAACCTGTTATCACAATGAATGTCCCTTCCACACTGCTTGAATCTGACTGAATTGAATATGTTCATGTGACCTGTATTCTTGTCAACCATTCCCCAAAATGCCTTCTGTAAACTAAAATTATGGTATCCAAACATTATACCTTCTATCCTTACTATCTTTTTTATCCCACCTATTATATGTAAACTGAAATTGATCTGCACGTACAGTGTAAATTGGCCTAAAATAAATTGTTTCTATATTTCTCTGTATCAATTGTAATGTTTAGTGGGTAGAACAAAACATTGTGCAATTTGTAGATTTAATATATAGACAGGTAATCCTTAATTGAAACTGCTTTTATTCCCTTCTTCCTCATTCATTATTCTTTCTTTTCTTAAATGATGTTACAGTGAGAAGGGAAAAAAAGAAGGTAAGAAATTGGATACCATGACTGGGTGAAAATGAGGCGTACTCTCGTTGAGTTCCTAAATTAAATTTGTGTGAACTTTGTTTCTGAATTTATCAGTTGAGTGTGCTCTTCTTCTAGCCATAATTTGAATGGATGAATATTTGCATGCTGAAGAAATACTCATTTCTTATTGCAGAGAAAGAACCTCTCACAGATGGCTCCGGAGAGCAAAGCATGTCTTCTTCTTCGGAATCCGAAGATGGAGAGGAGGAGCAAAGTAAACCCTCCGTGGAAAGAAAAGTGTCAAATTTGAGAAGAAATATTCGGGAGGTGATGGATGAAAGCCAGCTGGATGAAGAAACTCTTGCGGCCCAGCGCCAGGAGATGGAACGACTCCGTCGTGTGCAGGAGCAGCAAAGAATAATTCGAGAGGTAAGATTGTCAGGATTATTGGTTGTTTTCTTCAGTTTTGGATTAGAGGCTTTGAATCAGTTCTTATCAGTAAGAAAGGATGTAAGAACTCATCAGAATGATGAGTTGATATTCTTCAATGTTGATGTATGTTCATTCTAGGGAGCAACTGCTTGGTTTATCTGATTTTTTATCATCTTTTAGGCTCTGGAAATGGAAATGCGACTGCATTTTGTACTGATACCTCTTTGGTGGATGTAAATGCATTTCAATCTTCATTTAGTTCTTTTTATAGAAAGTATCTTTGCTTGTAGTTTGTATTTACTTATTTAACATCTAGATGTACATTACTAATGTACTGTAATTGTTGAATAACTACATTCACTTGAGTCAGAATTGTCTTCAGTTCTACTATGAATAGAAAAGCGTTAATATCTTCAGAATAGGTGTATTATCATATTAGCTTAAAATTGTAATCTCTGACATAGCCAGCAGCATACTTGCTTTGCACCTTTGCAAACTGTGGTTCATATTCTGATTGCTCGATGTGGAAGGATAATGAATAAATTGGGTTCATGGATGGTTTTCTTGGTGTTCTGTTGTTGTACATATCTTTCATTCAACCAACTACTTGTTAATGATTGTTACTCATTTTAACATTGTCTTAATCTTCATCGTCATCATTTCAAAAGAGTCGTTTCTGGAAAGAGGTTTATAGTTGACATTAACTTCAATTCTTGGATTTTCTTCTACTGTTGAATACAAACTGATATGACAAATATTTGAATCACATATATCTTTAGATCCATGCATTGCTTGTGTTCTGTAAAAGGCATTAGAAACAATTTTAAAAATTTAATTTTTTTGACTTATACTCTTATTCTCTGTTGCAATAGATATTTCAGTGTGCCATTAGCCAACATTTTACTCCTCTTTCATTGATTACTCTTGAATATATTTGTGCCTTCAAGCCATATATTTGTTCATGTGATCTCTAAGTATCTCAAACACATTTTCCTTCTGTAATAAAAATGTTTACTTAATCATGTTGCTATATCTTTTATCCTCTGCGTCTTTGTTTGATCTATTGGTCTCTTGTCTGCCCACCTACCAATGATGTATACCTACTTGTGGATTCCTCTTACGCAGGGTTCTCTACCCTGTTTTTAATTGTGGGCCAGTTGTTTAAATAGAAAGAGTGTGGAACCTAAAAATTATTGACTTAGCATCAGTATAGTAATTTCCAGGTTTTGCAACTGCAATGTAATGTGAGATGTTTTTGTCTGTGTAATAATTAATGTTTTAAAATGAAGTATAATATGGACCAATTTTAGAAATGATGCAACATAATACTGACTAGATCTAGTCTATTTTAAAATTGGTCAATTTTATTATGCATAATAAGAACAATGCACATGAACCTCAATGTAAAGATTACTGTGGCTCTTAGAATTGGTGGGCATTGTTTCATTTAGATTAAGCTCTAATTTAGAAGTTCACATTGATTTCAAATTCTCACTTGACATTGAAGTTCAGTATTTACATTTTATATATTGACATTTCTTTTTCAAGCCATTATAATGATCCCCAAACAGAAAACAGCATGAGCAAAATTACTGTCTGAGTTAGCTTAGAACCAGCTTTATTGTCATCTCTGCAGCATCTCTGATGGGGAAGTCCAAAGGTTTGAGTACCAACAATGGCAGATTTTTCAACAGTAGCTGCATTGCAAGGTTGAATTCTGTCTGAAAGATAACTCTAGCAGCCATCTGCTCTGATCGATATTTTCCTGGTTTCTTTAATACCAAGCCAACAACAAACACCAACGCACGCGTCTCCAAGCCCCGGGGGGCATTGAGCGCTTTGCGCTTTCAGAGTAATTCTCCATTAATAATACAATGTTATATCTGTCACGTCTCGTCCCTGTCAGTTGTCCAGAGGACTGCCAATTGCATCTCCATGTACACGCCTCCTACTACGCCCCCCTGCATCACTACTCAGCGGCCAGAATTGGCAAGGAATCAGGACTGGGGTAGGGTTAAGGACACTTCACTGTGAAGTGTGCAAACTCGTTTTGTCATAACAAATTTCACATGAGGTTCTACGGGAATTTAATGGGATTCGAACCCAGAAACTCAGTGGTGCAAGGCAAGTGACTTCATTGAGCCACGAGAGCATTATTATTTCTTTAGGTAATCTATTTAATGTGAATGCATCTGTTCACTAAAGTCCAAAATATAATAAATAATTATTTACTTATTTATATGAAATTTTCGAATGTAGAAAATCTAAAACTTCGGATTTGTTTGCTGGACCCATCTAAATTGCTACATATGCTGAATCTTGCTTGCAGGCTGTATCTTGGAGAGCCCTGCTCTTATGTATTTACTAAACTGCTGTTGACCATACTTTACTGAGATATTTTTATCCATATTTCAAACCAATTGTTTTTGAAAAACTTTCCTTCATAATGTCTTTTTGCTGCTTTTTAATTCACATATTTTAATATTTTCTTTCTTCCCTCTGTCCCATACATCCTAGTAATCTGCTTATTTTTTTAGTCTTTTTTTTCTGCTTGATTTTCTACACATTCTCCATACATTTTGTGGTTTGTTCACTCATTTACTGATAATTGTGCCCTTGGTGGTTGTTCTAGTTTTGATTTGAATTTTTCAATTCATTTACTTTTAAACTAATGAGTAGTGATAGTTCACTGAAATTAAAACTGTATAACCTGATAAAATCATTTACGGCTTATTTGACAAGTGTCATATATTGATTAAATTTTAAAAAAATATAAGTCATTACTTTTTTTACCCATAACAATTATCATTAGTATATCTATCAAGTCTCTGTGGAATATAGACTTCATTACGTCTTGCTGTCTTTAGTAAACAAAAGTTTAGCTGGCTGCCTAAAAATATAGTGAATAATTGATCTTTGAACTATTATCGATGTAATTTTGTTATGTTTAACGTTAAAGGTCAGAAATATGAAATGTAAATGTGAATATTATAATTGAATGGCCCATTTACAATGTAGACACTCTTGAAATTAGTTTTGTCAAAAATTTCCTTTTTAAGTCTTCAGGATAAAATACACTGGTCCTGATGTATTATAAATCTGAACAATTACTGTGTTAAAATTAGGATACCAAGAAACATGATTTAAAAACAAAATTATTAATTCTAATTATGCTCACTTTTTGGCAGAATAAATGTTGAAAATGTTATATCTTAAAAACCTTTAAGTTTTATTTATACGTGTTTCATGGAAAATGGTTTCTTCTACGTCTGTTCATATTGTACAACTGTCCATCATACTCAGTGTTTTGAAATGCTCTATGAAATTTATAGAATTATATTATTTATGAAATTACTATACAATAGTTTCATTACCTATTTACAATATTCAACTTTCAAAAATTTGTGGTATAATGTTTGTAGTAATGTTTCTTTTCTGTGGTTTGAAATTTCAAAATTTGAGAAAAATGTTCAGAGAAACTCAATGTAACTTTAGTTTTCAAAGTTATAATTCTTGAAACACACTACTTGTTAGAACTGCAGCTAGTACCAACATTTGGTTTAAAAAGGGTTAGATTTGCATGAAAATTGTAAGATAACTTGTTTTTCTGGTAAAATAGATCAAGAAATCAAAATACTTTTAATTTGTTGTATTTTTGTTTATAAGAGTTTCCCATTATTGTGTAGTCTATTAAGAAAAGTTGTCTAATATATTGGAAAATGTTAGATAGTGCTTAGAATTCTACAAATTGTATTGAGAACTATCATTCCAAACTACTGTAATTTTACCACATGTAATATCATTTGAAAGTTCTCTTAATCAACACAAAAACGTTATAGGCAATGTTTTCTACATTTCTGGTTTTTAAAATTTCAGTTCTTTTCATACTTCTAAAACTCAGAGATAGTAGGCTACGTATCGTAATTATTTTACGTGCATTGACAAATATTGCTTCACCATTGTCGTGGAAACTCGGTTGAAATCAACTGTATTAATCATAATTTATCATAAAATTCAGAATTGAACAGGAGTTTTGCTTTGACAAGCGTATTTATACCCCGCCCTGGTTCTCTTCAAACAGGTTCATCACTTGACTCTCTATGGACAATATGTTAAGGTTTGCTAGTCTCTCCTGTCCAATCGAATTTTGCAATAATTTTTTTATAATTTTCAATTTTGAGGAAGAACGCTCTGCAGGCTCAACCGTCACGGGAATAGTAATAGGAACAGCAAGATTATTGAGCAGATGTCTGAAAAAGTAGCTGAAACAGTTGAATAGGCCTACTCAAGACCAAACTCTCTGAACGAATCTTTGAAATTCGATCTCTCAGACAACTATGGAAGGATAATAGCTATGTGAACAGTTGATCAGTTTTTTCATTTTTTTTTTCCGCATCACTTTGGTGCATCTGCACATGTGCAGAGGGTCCGTAGTGCTGTTGTTCGTGCTCAAACTCACTATTTAAATATCTAAACAAACGAAGTGAAATGTTTTTTTACACATTTCTCACAAAACTCGACTTGTACGCCCCAAGATGTGGCCAACTATGGAGTTGCAGCGCATTTGGCTTTGTCAGAGTCACCTCTAAAATCTTTAAATTCTTGTGAGCTGCTTCAATCAAATACCGTGCATGAGGAAGACCAAAATCAGACTGCGAATTTTGAGACACAGCAATGGTCGCGATGAAATATTTTTATTGTAATACAACTTGGAATGCAAACTCAAATGTCTACATTTAATTTTACTTCTTGTTACATTTTTTTTTCAAGTAAAATTCTTTCTTCATAATCCTTTCATTAAGAAAATGCACATTCTTTTTTGAAAATTTGTGTAGTTTTCATACTAAATTCCGTGCAATATTAAAAAAACAACAACAAGAATTTATCAACGACTCCAATTTCTTTCTTTAAACTTTTGCCAGGGATAGTGCTTTCCCTCGTTTTGTATACATTATTGCATTTGATAGTGGAAGTACTTCAAAACGATGTTCATTAAGTTTTTCGAAAACTTAAAAAAAAAATGTGGAAAAGAGATTCAAATTTTGCATTTACAGAAATGCCTAAATGCCATTTTCTTAAAAACAGCTCCAAAGTTTTCAATGAAAATGTCCTTATGGAACAAGGTTATAATCTTCTATAATATTCTTAAAGTAAGATTTCGGTTCTACTATTAGGAAACTAAAAAAAATAAGATTTTTTTTTTTTAAATGTGCTTTGGGCAAAACTATATGACAGCTGGCAAAACTATATGGCAAGCCCGAAACGCTAGCACAGACCAAAGAAAATAGAAAACTAATCTCTGCAATTTTTGATTATACAGAGAGTTCGCCGAAAATGCGACCAGACACCCTTTTTTACTTTTTTGATACCTCTTACGCAGTAGAGAGAAAGCTATGTAATGCTGAGTGAACAAACTGCATGTTTTTGGTAGAAATTACTAAAAGAAACTACTAAATTTAGCGGAAAATTCTCTTAACATGTGGTGTATCTAGAATCCATGTTTTGTGGGTCCTTAATAACGGAAAATTAAATTTGGATCCGTTTTCAAGAAAATGAGTGTTTAAAAAACTATGATTCACGCAAAATTACGCGAAAATTTTCATATTTTCGAAACAATTTGCATGACTTAATTTTTAAGAACTATCTTTGTACAGCAGATTTTATTGAGGGAAAAAATAGTTTTATATTCAACATTGTAGTTCTAGGAAAACACCAAAAAAATTTTGAATTTTGAATATTCGAAAAATGAGGAATTTCAACAAAACTGAAACATGCACCATTCTTTTAATTTTTTTAAATTTAACTTTGTCCCCACATAGCATAAAGGACTTAACACTATCTGACAAAGTTAAATCAAAAACATACGAGCCATTTTGAGAAAATTTTCAAAAAAAATGTGTTGTATGCACACGTTTTCTTGAGCCCTGGTAGACTTCCCCGACTCCTTTACTAACATTACTTGAATTCAGAATCAATTATAGCAAGGAACGTTGTTGACATAATCTGATGTCCAGAAATACTTACTTCCGTGTAATTTCCATGAATTTTACATTAAAAAATGAATTTCAGACATGATGTATAGTCCTATTGACCAAATCATCGAAACCCCTCCACTCCTCTCACATCTTGTGAAATGAACTAGAGTCACTGGCAATTCCTGACGCGCCTTAACCACAAATTACATTTACGTGTTATATCAAAATCTGTGTGTATAAATATTGAGTGATGGAAATCTTATAAGGCAAATCAAAGTCTGTTTCTAATGATGTGCTCAATTTGTATTTACAAAAGCAATAATTTAGCATCAAACAGAGAACTAAAAAGTTGAATGAAATGTGAGATATTTTCAAAAATATGATAAGTTTTATTTGCAAAACTTGATAAGTGTATTAATGTGCTAGATAAAATGTTTATTTATTCATGCTATGGACCATGTTGTAAGTTGTAAGACTTAAGCTCAAGATGGGATAACCTTTTTTTCTTTCATAGTACATGCATCATCATTGTCATCGTCATCATCTGCAAGGATTACTCTAGTCAATCTGTTCCAGCTGCTAGAATTCCATCTTCTTGGCGGAATTTTCTTGTGTTTCTTCTCCCTCTTGGCTTATAATTCAAAGCTGTTATTCCCTCTCCAGACATTTTTAGTACAAGGTTTTTCTATTTTACTCTCTACCGTTTAATGATTTCATGTACACTTACAATGTTCTATTCTTTTCTAATTTCTTCAGATTGAGTGTGGTCAAAAAGTGTGTATACAACTACATTTCTGAGGAATTTAATTTCTGTCAATTCAATTCTCATTTGATCTGTTGTTAAGTGTTCAGCATTCACTTCCATATAGCAAGATGGGTAAGACTATTGTTTCAAATAGTTTAAGTACTGTGACATTTCTATCTTTATTTTTCAGTGTAAGTTCTATTGTGCCACAAAATTTCTGTATTTATTTCATTTTACATCTGGGTCACTATTTTTTGTGTATGTTATTTTGTATTTAAGTAATTGAATGTGTTAACCTGTTTTGTTACATTATTACCAAGATTACATTAGTGGTCTGTATCCTTTGAATGCCATGGTATATGTTTTCTCTTCATTTATTGGTATATTATACTGTTTAGCTACATAATTCAACTTATATATTGCTTCTTGGATACGGTCTTCTGTAGAGCCTATTATCTGGTCATCTGCTAACAGTTGGAGTTGTAAAATGTTTGTTGTTTATAATGATTTGTCCATCTAAAATTTTACGCCATTTACCGTAATTCTAATTTTTATTGTTTTCTCTACGCTCTGAATAGCCCTTAGTAAATGTTTTGGAACTCAATTTATATTTAATGTTTTTCACAGAAGGGTCTCTTTACCTTGATGAAAAGTATTGGGGTAAACACCAAACAAATAATACATCAGTAGATTTTGTTCTTTTTGCTTCTCTGTTAATTGGGAAATTACCAAATTGATACTATCTGTACCATCATATTTCTTATTTTTACTCTTTGACTACTTCAAGTTCTTACATGTCGATATGGTTTAGATTACTGACTGGTTCCATTAGTACTGCATCAGCTTCATCATATGCACATAAATTTTCAAAATAATTTAACCATTCCTTTTCTGGAATGGGGTTTGTCCTTAAAATATTCCTTTATTTTTTATTTCCTTTATAATCTTGTAAGCTTTATTTTGCCTTTCATGCAAATCAATTCTAAATCTGATATTTCTCTCCAAACTTTGATGCTTGATTTCTCAAACTGTATTGTTTACTAAAGCAGATATCCTTTTGTATTCACTTTTCAAAATGAAGTCGATATTCTTTGGTGTTTAGAGATTTTAAGTATGCTTTTTTTTTTCTTTCTATAAGTTGTTTTATTTCTTCATTTCAAACTCTCTTTAGTTCTCTTCATGTATATTTCTTTTTCCTTTTGCCTAGTGATTCGTGTGCAGCCTTTGTCAATATTTGTTTGAATCAATGTCAATCAATTTGTCAATGTTTGTTTGTTTTTTTCTCCATTCTTCATTTATATTGGCATTGTATTACTTGTTGGCATGGATTGTAGATATGTATTTATTCTTGTTGGCAAAAGAATTCTAAAACTCTGATCTTGTAGGTGTACTTTAATGTATATCGATATTGTTTCCTTGTTTTATAATGTTTTGTTTCCATCTTTTTGGGGAGTTTTATTTTGGAGATTACTAAGAAATGATCTGTTGATATGTCAGGGCCTCTGTATGCTCTTGTAACATTTTATTTCCACCCATGTCTTTTTATTTGCCTAAATACAGTCTATAATAACAGTGCTTCCTTTTGCAGTCCATGTATATTTATAAATAGTAAAGTAAAGCAGGAATACTTCATGCAAGCGCTCAATGCCCAACGAGGGTTTAGGAGACATGTTCTGCCAATGATGGAAAAAGAAAGTGTCTGTTAAATATATGGTATTCTTGATTCATTAAATCCTGCCAATTCTATTAATCTATGGCCACTTAAATTTGAAAAATATTCTGCATGCCACTAATGTTAGGGATAGGATTATTTTCAACTCTTTATTTTATAGTGATCTATTATCATCAAATTATCATTTTTTGGGGGTTTGATTTACATCTTGTAATCTTTCATGAAATTCAATAGTCTTATCTTTTCTCCCTTCTTCTGAAGCATATATTGCTAATATCAGCATGTAACCTTTTGCCAACTTAATTCTAAGCATCACTATTCTTTCATTCACAAATGCGTAAGACATTATTTCTATTTTTGTATTTTTCTTCCACAAGAATTGTAGTTTCTATTTTGTTTCTGGTAATGTGACAATATCGATATCCATTTCAAATACAGTAAAACTTGCCCAATGCGGAAGCTCAAACAACCAGTATTGTTTTCGGTATTAGACAAGATTCCGCATTATACAATGTAATACTCTAGAATTTATATTTGCCAGGACTGTGATTTATGTTCATATTGGACAGATTTCCACATTATACACGTTCCGCATTGAGCAAGTTTACTGTAATTGGTTTTGTATTTCTTTATTTGCAAGCCTTTAACAGTCCATGTTCCTATATGTAGTGATTCTGAGATCCTATTATTCCTTGTGCTTCTGTTCTTTGCTAATGTTGTCTTGATGTCTGCCAGGTAATTACTTCTGAGCTTGCGAGTGATGATTTATCACCAAATCAGGCCAACCCTACATTGGGTGTTCTGGGTGGAGGGACTGCTTCACTTAAAAATTCCAGATTCCCCTCTTATGTATTAGCTTCACAAGAAGGGATGCCTCGTCCGCTCACTGTCTCTTGAGGACTTTCTTCTGTTACCCCAAAGATGACCAGAATTATCTAAGAATAACCAAAGAAATTTAATTCTTATTAGTATGGTGAATGTTGAGTTAATTTTTATTTGTTTTTTTATTAGGATCTTTTCTGGATGACTAGAATAAAATCCTTATAAAACGTCTTATAGATTTTGTAACTTTATTAGTAAGGACATTTTTGTTGTATGCTTTCTAATGAAGTTATCAGAATGTGGGTCAGTTTTCAGTTAGTTACTTCAAGTAAAATATATTCTTCTTATCAATTACATTTTTTTGGAAAATTACATTTTTTTGACCTTGTTTTAATTATGGTATGAAAACTTTCATTTAAATGTTTGATTTTTGTTGCAGGTTCAGAGACAAATAGCCCTTAACAAACAGAATACAAAAACACAAACACGTGTCATATCACTCCTTCAAGGTAACTCTTCGATTCTGAAGCAAATACCTGGAACCTCGACATCCTCTTCGTCATCCTCAACATCTGGAGGTACTCAGGTTCGATTGCCCAATACTGTCCTGGTGAAATTAGCATCAGGGTCTGCTTCCAACACATCAACTCAAACAAAGAAAGTATGTATTACCATTTTATTGTTGTTTTTAAAGTAAATACTTCATTATTCAGATAATGGAAGAATGAAAGAAGAGAAAATGTAAATGTGTGTGTGTACTGCTTATACCAGAGACCATTGGTATTATTTTATTACAATTATCAGCAATGCACATTCACATTTACATTTCTCTTTCTTTCTCTTTGTGCCTGTTTGGTCTGTGAACATTGACAATGATGTTAATGGAATTTTTAAAAGAATGTCACTTAGTAACTAGTTCTCTTCGTTTGTTTTTTTGTTGTTTTCCTAGAATACATTTAACCTCAGTTGTTCTTATCCTCATATTTATATTAAATTAAATACTGAAATTTATTATTCTCCCTAAACTTTGCTAGTGCATGTATTTTCTACATCCTTCGAATTTTACTGTCCTTAATTCTATTGATGTATATCAAAATCACTGATGGCTAGTGCCCACCAAAGATGGGAGTTGCCGCACCAATGAATTGAGGAAATGTAATTTAAATAAATATGTTTTTTTTTAATTTTGTGCGGTACTGGGAGTTTCTAGTAATGTTAACTACAAGCTGTTCTTTATGTAGATTCCAGAAGCTTCACGTTTCTTTTATCTGTCTATTAAGTGGTTTAAATTCTTTAAATATAACAAAAACAAGATATTTTTTATGCTTCAAAGCAGTCTTCATCCATGAATCGTCACTCCCAAATAATATACCGGAAAAGTAAAACATCTTTTATTGAATCATACCTCTTGAATTTGGGATTAAATGAATTCTTTTCTTCAAATTTTTAGTTTTGAATCAAATTTTGAGAACTTAAACTTGCGCAAAATTGGAAAATATTCTTCGTAGAGGAAGAAGTTTGATCGGTTCTAATTCACAAGCAGCGGGGGCGACAACCACAATAACAACAGTAAAAAGAAACTTATCAAAACAAATGCACTCTTCAAGAGTACAGTTTGAATCAATAAATATTATTTCGTACAAAATAAGTTCACAAAACTATCAAAATGGCGCATCAATACTGTAAAATATTGACCGAACTTCTATACCTTCAACAACTCGCGTGTAATACTTAGACAAAGTCAGAAAATTGGTATTCTCCCCCCCCCCCTCCGATTCCCCTAGGCTGCTGAGGCCTTGTCATGGTGTAAATACACGTCTTTTTATATTAAGTCTTTTCATCATGGGTCCAGTTCTTTGCGATATTAGTCTGTAGGTACAGAGAGTACCTCATTCCATCGTTCCACTTCTCCCGCCATTTTATATCCAGTTGTACGAAGTCGTTGTTACATTACAACGTACGGGGAATGACTGCTCACATCGTTGATGCAACGCGTGGCTAGTCAGTTGGCTTTTGCTTCACATGTGAAAAGTCCAAAAGCGTGACGTCACACATCGGAGTGCTGCCTAGCTTGCAACTGGACGCAAATTGGTACATTTGAGGAGCGGTCTTTGATTTGGAAATGGTTTCTTACATTGTTATTGCAGCAATATCTCAATTATTGAATGGCATTAAATCGAAAGGAAATATTCCTAATATATAAGTATTTTAAGATTATCTGGTGGTTGTGCAAACATACAACCTAAGAACGAGCTGCCACTGATGAAAATGGACATTGGGATGCAGATTTACAGTTTAAATTGCTTTATTACCGTATTTTCCCGACACAAGACGAGGTTTTTCTCTAATTATCTCATTCCAAACATACGTGGTTGTCTTGGATTTGCATATTAAACACAATCTGTTGGGGGTCCTTTTGGTTTTTAAATCACCTATGCATTTCCAGAAACTCAATGTTGACGTGACAATAAACTGCTAAGGGAGTAAATCTAAATACATTTCGAAAATACCTAATTATATTCGTGGACATATTATTGCCAACCATCGCAAATTTGCCGGGAGACCAATAGTTTTGAAAGACAGTTTTGAATTTTAAAGAGCGAATTTTAAACGCAAGTGACAAATCCTCACCGTTCACGAAGCGCTCAACGAGGTCAGGCGGACTCGCGGTTCGGCGCCCGGCGAGTGCGGATGTGCGTTTGGCAAGAGATAGAAATTTAAAAAGTCGCCTTGAGAGACGTTCCAAGCCTACATATTATCATAGAGACGTATTGATAAAATAAAATCTTAGCTAAAACTTCCCGAACTTCGAAACGCCGCGCGCTCCCGCGTTTCCCACGAAACAGGTATACGAATTCGCAGTTCACAACTTAATCAAGCGAACATTAAACGATTTGAATTTCAAAAATATTCTGTTGAAGAATGTGAAAGATTCAGAGACTACGAACAGGAGCGCGTCAGTAAGAAGAAAAATTGGTTATTCAGAAGGGAACGTTCTGTGATGGCGTCAGATGAAAGGCGAACACAAATTGTTTGCATCAGCAAGGCAATTTTCATTTTTATTTGGACTAAATATTGAAGATTAGTTAAACGTTTAAAAAAGTTAAGAGTCTTCATATTTTGGTGGTCGTCATATTATATCCGTCTTATATGGTAATACGGTAATTAATTTATAAGGAGATAACAGATAAAGCATTAAACATTGAAAATTAGTACGTTTCTGTGGACTTGTTTGTGATCTTATTTTGATGTTTTCAAATTAGATTAATGTACGAATAATTTTTTAAAATTGTATTTCTTTCAATTTTATGGATCGATTTTTACTTTCTCTCACTTGGTTGAAAGGTATGTAATGTAATTGTGCAACGGAAAACGTCGAATTTTCTGCCAAAAACAACCTTTATTGCCGGGTCCTGGTAACGAATAAGGGAATAAATTTTGTTGCAATATGTAGTAAATTACTTCTTCTAACATGTGGTGTAGCCAGAATCCATGTTTTGTGGGTCCTTGATACCGAAAAATCGATTGACGGCAAAACGTATCCGTCCGTCTGTGGTCAACCCTAGTGCCTAAACCGTTCCCATTTTCTCCAAAATTGATGTGCCCCGTTCGTTCTGATCGAACTCAAGGTTTTTGGAGTTTCAACCCAAGCATTTTCAACATTTTCTGAAAAATGTCCTCATTTTTTTTCTTTTTTTTCCTTTCCGTTTGATGTCCTCGGATAGCGAAAAGGACGCTTAAGCAAATCTCAGGTGAAATGCCTTTTTTATTACAATTTTGTAGGGGCTTCTGACAACTGTAATATTGAAGATAAGAGATTTGTTCTTTAGTGATATCTGTTCCTTAAAGACAGATCTTGAAGTAAAGTCATTTACAATTTTTCGAAAATATGAGTACAGTAAAACCTCGCTAATCCGAACCCCGCAAATCCGAAATTTTCCGATGATCCGAACAAAAGTCGGGTTGGAAGTAAAATAAACAAAATAAATAAAATGCTTATTTGTAACGTAAACAAAGGATTTTATAACTACTGCAGAACTGAACAACTCATTATTGAAACACGTTAATGAAACGAAGTCGGTCGAAGACTAATGTCCGTGTTCGATTCCCGGACAATCTCATGTGAAATTTGTTCCAATAAAATGAGTTTTACTGTTCCACAAGGGCTATTCCAACCCCCTGTGAAGTGACCTAAACCCTACCTTAATTCCTTCCCAATTCTGGCCGCCGGTACTGACGCAGGAGCGCCTCTTGACAACTGACTGCGACAAGATGTGAGCAATGGTTAGTGGAGGATTACTTCAAGCGCAAAGCGCCCAACGGCCCCAGAAGGGCTTGGAGACGCGGTACTTCTATCTAGACCCAACAAATTTAAAAAAACAACAACAAAAAAACAATAAGTTTTTTACGTTGTATATCACATGTTTATGTAGCAGTAATTTTCACTTAGAGGAACTTGTGAAATCGGAAATCATATTTTTCCGTAAGGAACTGAATCTGCTTGATGACGCGATCTCTACACTATGTTGTCATTTTTCTGAAATCGAATGCTACGTCGTCTTGTCTCCTAATACTGCAGATATAAATTTTGTGAATGTACTGTGAGTTTTTTCGGATAATCCGAACATTTCCGGAACCGAACAAACCACACCCTCAGTTCGGATTACCAGAGTTCTACTGTAGTTTTCGTGTAATTTTGCGCGAAATATTGGCAATTTTTAATTTTTTAAACATTTTTTCCTCTAAAACGGCACCATATTTTTCTTTTAAAATGTCTTCTCTATGTATCTAGGGAAGGTACAAAATATGGTGCTTGGCCCACTTTCGGCGATCTCTCCGGTTTTTCTGCAAAAAGGTCCAATTTCGTCCGTCCGTCTGTACGTACATCTGTGGTCAACGGTAGCGCCTAAGCTGTTCAGTCGATTTTCTCCAAAATTGATATTCCCCAAATGATTGAAATGAATTTGAGGCCTTCCGAGTTTGAAACAAATTTTTTGGGCGCGTTTCTGCAACCACAATATTGAAGATATAATTTTTTGGTCATGTACAATTTTTCAAAAATGAATAGTTTTCTCGTAAATTTGCGTTACATGTGATTTTTATTTTTTAAATATTTTTTTTCTCGAAACACGCCAAAATTTTTCTTCAATTTTTTGGTGGCTAGAAACAAGGAATGCTTAGTAAAATAGTGCATGTCTCTATTTCATTGAATTTTGAATTTCCAAAAATTGCAAATTTAGAAATAATGCGAGAAAGTATGTGCTGTTTGAACACCAGTAGTTAAATATTATATTGTACGTCAGTTTGTAATTTACTTTATTATGTTTTTGTTTTTTTCATTCTTATTTTAATTTGTATGATACATTACCAATATGAGAAATATTGCAATTCAGTTTCATTCCAAATACAATAACTGTCACATCTATTGCTTTATACACATTCTTATTAATATGAGGTTTACTTTTGATTCTAGGTGTATGAACTTCTGAGAGTGCAGAAGGGTGCAGCAGGGCGTGGTTCTTCTCCAAGTGGTCGTGCTGGGCATGTTCGTGCTGTACCTGGGAAATCCCGTAGTCCAGGTCAAGTTCATATGATGACACCATCTGTATCAATTGCTCCAGTTATGTCAGCGCAGAGTAGTCAACAAGGTTCAGATTCAGAATCAGATCTTGGGGAAGGTTCTGACAAAGATGTTTCCTCGAGTGGAGGTGTTAAAACTTCTGGAAAACCGAAAGGAAAAGGTAATTAGAAAAAGCGTGTTAACATTTCTTCATTTGACATTTGTTCCTTCATTTTTTTCTATTTATTTTTCTAATTAAAAATTAAAAAATGGTTGAATTAAATTTTTATTAAATAATGTTACAGAAATGTTATATTAATAATGAATGAAATTGCGTAAAAGCTTGGTATTATCTTTTGAGTATGCCTCTAAATTTGACTGTTGAGATAATTATCATGAAGGAAGCTAAACAGGTTCTTGAAAATTTAGTGTAGTTTGTTTGGGGTGTGAGAAAACAGAATTTTAAAATTTTTGAAATTTTGAATTTTGAAAACTTGTAGAAAATTATTTTGATCACTTGTTTCAAGAATTTCACCTTTCTCTTCTGTTGTAAAAATATCTTTTAACTAGTTATGATTATTGTTTTTTGATGTGTTAATGTTCCTACTTTTTTGTCTAGATGTTGTGACAATCAGCAGTAGTAGTGATGATGATGACTGTATCCTTCTATCTGAACCTTCAAGTGGTGATGAGGGAGATCCTGTAGATGACCCAACAAACTCAGGAATGCACACTAATGATCTTTACAATGTGCCTGATGATCAAGGACGTGTGCTTGTTAATGTTGGCCATCCTCCCGAAGAGCCAGATATCTTTTTGGCCCCACAAATTGCACGAGTCATCAAAGCCCATCAGGTATTAATTGATTTAATTTTTCCCAGGTAAATCAAGATATTAATGACAATACAATTGTATACAGAACTATTGGATTCGTAATAGACTGTCAAACTATTTTCCTTCTTACTCTTACAAAATAAAAAGACGTTAGTAAAGAAATAAAGACGTTACTGTTTTGTAGGAGGAACATTCCTTAAAGCAGGGTAACAAAGTGAAAAAGTGGCGAAAAATCAGGAACGTCTAGGGAAGTGTCTGATAAAAAGCAAATTGAAGCACAAATAACTAGAAGAGCAAAATTGTGTCCAAGTTAATCACTTTCCCGACTGCTGCTCTGGGTAGTGCTCTGTCCCAGCCAACTGGCAGTATTTTACTGCTTTTGCGTTTTTGCTAAAAATAGTTTTAATGCCATTATAATGTTCTAAAGTTATTATAAATATCATTTTCTCTTTACAATGACATATTTCATCAATGGGAAAGGTGTTCCAATCATTTTTGAAATTGTGCTTGAAAAGTGTATGATTTTCAAGAAAAAGGAACCAAGCCTTGAAACCTGAGAACGTGCTGATGGCCAACACTTGCCAAACAGCTCTCAAGTGTAGTCCAAAAAGTGTTAGCCCTCCTATTAAACAAGATAAAAACATAAAACTTAAAATTATGTGAAACTGACTCGAGTTCCTTATGTAAAACTTCTGTTTTAGAGATTTCCTCATTTTAATTTTATTCTGAAATACATAACCATTTTCCTGAACCATCCCTGATTAAGAATTCAGACATAGATGTGAATTCAGCTTGATAATCTCTACAAGAATCAATAATGTTTTAAACGGAAATAAGAATGTTTGAATTTTTGCTACACAATATAATCTAAAATTAAGATCGTATGTGAATATAAAGAATGTAATTTTGAGAATTTCTTTTGTATTTGCAGATTGGAGGTGTTCGGTTTTTGTATGACAACGTTGTTGAGTCAGTGGAAAGATTTAATACTTCCACAGGATTTGGATGCATCCTTGCTCATTCCATGGGATTAGGAAAAACATTACAGGTACATTGAAGTAGTAAATAATGCTTTTTCAATTTTTGAGTACTGAAGTAATAGTGACGTTTCTAATAAATAATCTTTTCAGGTGGTGTCATTCTGTGATGTGTTTTTACGTCATACGAAAGCTAGGACGGTTTTATGTATTATGCCAATAAACACACTGCAGAATTGGCTTGCTGAATTCAACATGTGGCTTCCAGAAAAGGACCCTCAAAATAGTCCATTAGCTGTTCATGGTGAAGTCAGACCTCGAGAGTTTCCCCTTCATGTACTTAATGATTCACATAAATCCATGACGGCTCGTAGTAAGGTAATAATTTTGTTATTCAAATTATAAATTGTCTAAAGAAATGGTGTCAAACTGGTGGCCCGGGAAATGCATGAGGTAATCTTTTGTGGTCTATAAGCAACTATTTTTCTCCATGAAATTAATTTAAACATCCTCTAGGTCAAGATTAATGGATAAACATTTATCTTCACAATGAAGATTCTTAGTTCTCAGTATTTGAATTCAGATTTTGAAAAGCAAGGAGGAAAGCGTTGGCAAGTCCAGTTGAAAAAATAATTTGACTTTTATAAATACATTCACTAAAATAAATTTTTCATGATATAGCAATGTTTTAAATAATTATCATAAATCAGTCTTCATTGCTGAACTACTACTAGTTCTTTTTCTTCTGTTGGGTGACCTGATGTTTTGCTCCCAACACTCCTTCCGCCCCCTTTTAAATTTGGTGTTGAGTTTAGTGGTAACATTTATTTATGAAAATATATTTTATTGCTTTTGACATGAACAATTCTTCTATGGTTTTTACTTCTCATTCAGGTCATTCAAGAATGGAATAAGGATGGTGGAGTGCTGTTAATAGGTTATGAGCTGTATAGACAGTTAAGTCTTAGGAGAACTCACAAGAGTAAGAAGAAGAGAAAGAAAATGTTAGAAGTTGTTGATGTTGATGAAGAAGATAAAAATAAGGCATTGCTTGATGGTATGTGTATTTATTTGTAATATAGATTTAAAAGTGTCAACTCTTCCCTTTTTCCTAACACGTTTCTTTATTTATATTTTTTTATTTTCTTTTCTATATAACAGAAATTGTCATGAAACTATTCTTTGAATAATTTATTTTCATTTCTTTATTTGAATTTAAAAAATGTCTCTATGAAGTAATTTTAAGAAGAATAATTCATTATTTTACATGAGGAGAGAACAATGTATCATAATTCAATTTATCGTATTTACTTTTCTAAACTCTTTATGGTGTAAATTTATGTTAACTTCCTTATCCTTTCTGTTTGGTTATGACTAATAGTACTAGTTATGACAATGTTTAGTAATTTATTTGTTCTGTAATTATTTTGTATTTACTTTCAGACATTCATAGTGCATTGGTCAAACCAGGACCTGATTTGGTTATCTGTGATGAAGGTCATCGTATAAAGAACAGCCATGCATCTATATCACAAGCTCTGAAACAAATAAGAAGTAAACGTCGTGTTGTACTCACTGGCTATCCTCTTCAGAACAATCTTTTGGAGTATTGGTGCATGGTAGATTTTGTACGACCGAACTATTTGGGTACAAAGACTGAATTCTGCAACATGTTTGAGAGACCTATTCAAAATGGGCAGTGTATCGACAGTACTCCTCAGGATATTCGTTTAATGAGATACAGAGCACATGTTCTGCATTCTTTATTAGAAGGTTTTGTTCAAAGGTGTGTAATCATATTTAGTCTCTTATTTGCATTTGGTTTATTATTTTACTGTACCTAGAACTGTGATAGTATAACTTCAATGCCAAATGCAAGAATAATGTTTCGTGGATTCTTGTAAAATGAATAAAGTAGCAATAGATTCTTGTAAAAGAAGGGAAAAAATTAATTTTTGAAGTTCCAATACAGAAATATTTACTATATGAAGGTAATTCAAAATCGAAGAGAAAGGAAGTCGAGGTGAAGTTTCACATCTATAAGTTACAGAATATTCTTTCAGTTTAGGGAATTCTAAACTAGTGACAACAATTTATATATATTGAGAAGAAAATAATTGCAAATAGGAACTGCTTGCAACTATTTTACTATTTACAGCTGATTGAAAATAGAGGAAATATTTTCTGGAAACACATATTTATTTTTTCAATGAATCATTTTATATTATTTCAGTGTGATATTGAAATTTGTTCCAGAAAAAATTAATAATCTAAGATCAACATTTTCTTCTGTAAATGCTCATTTTAATTTTTTGTTTCATTTTTATTCAAATTTACTCCTAAATTTGTAGCAGTGATTAGTAATTTACTTAGGGTGTATTGTTTTCTAGGCGAAGCCACTCTGTGCTGCAAGTTTCGCTTCCACAAAAAGAGGAATATGTACTCCTTCTCCGAATGACTGCTTTTCAGAGAAAGCTTTATGATACTTTCATGAATGAAGTAGTGCGAACAAAAGCTGTACCTAATCCTTTAAAGGCTTTTGCAGTTTGTTGTAAGGTAAGGCTCTGCAAAAATTAAATTGGGACTGGTTGTCTTAACCTTTTCCACACTCTCCATTTAAATGGCGGGTTGGAGCGGGAACAGCAGCAGGATGTAATAAAGAGTAAAAATAAAGAAGTTTAAACACAAAATATTATGTCCATAGTAGTAGTGGCTCTAGTATTAGAATTTAGCAACTCAACTAAGGATGAGCACTAAAAGTTGCAAAAACATGCTACCAGAAAGCTGCCACAATGACTGTGCTCACATGGACCCAATGACAATAGGCGAGCGCTATGCCCACAAAATAAATTTAGCCATTAAATGGTCAAACAAAAAATATTATCGTTATAATCTATTTTAGATAGATCACTTCTAGAAGTAATAAAATCTAATTCATTTATTTCGCTCTCTGTTAGAAACACATGCTTTGAGGTCATTGCCATTGCTATTTACATCTAGTAACATCCGTGCAGAAGCTAAGAAAATGCAGGTATGTTTCAAGTTACATGAAGTGAACCAGCAGAATAAAAGTAAACCAGTAAAGCTTTTGGATGTCGCCATATGAGATGGCACAACCATACAGTACTGGTCCACACCAAGGGACAAGGGATTGATACTGAGAAGAGTGTGGGCAACTGGGTGGGCTATAGGACTGGAACTGAAAATGGTGTGGCCAACCCAGTAGGGCAAAGGCATGGATAGGGTTAATCATTTTGTTATTTATTTTATTTAAGAAGTACAAAGCCAGCAAGATAGATCCCTTTATTGGCTTATTTTGGGTACATTATAAAGGCATACAATTCTGTTTTAAAGATTCTACTTAATTAAACGCTTTGATGACACAATAAAAATAGTCAGCAAAAATATAAATTTCACATCTATATTTTGAAGTAAATTATTTGACCAGTGCAGTAATTTTATTCAGCATAGTGTTATGTAAGAATCTATCAGTGGACACACTGTGATAAAATGATCTACAAATACCTGGCATATGATGAGGCACCAACATCAAGATACTTTCGTGAGTGTAAGGATACTCAGTAATATTCCTATGAACTATTAGAAATAACATGATCGTAGCAAAATTCCTCATGTCAGTATTTTCTAATTTTTTTAAATTTATGTATTCCAAGAATCTATGTTGACACCTTACAAGTTCCATCTGCAGACCCTTGTAATCATATTTTCTTCTGTTTTTGCTATTTCTCTGAACAAACAAATAGCATTCATAAATAAAATTATAAAATTGAGCAATATCGATAACACAAAAGTTTTCAATTTTGTGTTATCACTATTTTCAATTTTATTCACAATTTTCAATTTTGTTGTTGAGAATTAAAAATAATAGTTTGATGAATTGTTTAAAACTGATGCATGATATTTTGTGACAGTTTGTATTTAAATAATTGAATTACAACAGAAAATGTTCTTACGAAAATAGTAACATTAAATATAGACCAACTCAACGTGACTCCCGCCTTTGCCACCCAACAATAAATTCCTTGTTACAAGACGAAGACAAAGACAATCTAATGTAAATTCAGTCAGAAGTCTGTTCAAACATTGACGATAAGGTATAAGGAGGATATAACAAAATAAATTTCGCACAAGGTCTCTAATTTGTACAACATAAACTGCACAGAGTCAATTCGACTTGTGTTTGTAGTTAAGAATTAATATGATTTTATCTTCAAGAGTTTTTCAAAAAGCTTTTGTTAATTTCAGATATGGAATCATCCTGATGTTCTGTACTACTTTCTAAAAAAGCGAACGCTTGGAGAAGATGTAGATCTTGACTTGGAGGAGACAACAGCTGCTAGTACTCCAATGACTCCTCGTAATGGTGCTTCTCCTGCAGCTCCTAAAAGAGGGAGAGGGCGGACCCCTCGTAGCACCAGTGGTTCAAAGCGGGATAAAAAGGTGAGAGTTCGTATTTTTCATTTTTATCCCCATCTGAAATGTTGTGCTTTCCAACAAACTTTGTTCCTGAAAGATTGCTAATGACCCTGCATAAGATTCACAAAATGGAATGAACTGAATGATATGAATACTTGTGAAATTGTAGAATTGTTATCATCTATGACTTCGATTTCTTTGGATGAGCAATGTATTTTGTTAGGAAAATAATTTGAATATTCTTTACATGTTGGGGGACGTAGCGAATTGAACTTGCCGTTTGTTTTGATACCAACCTGCAAACAAGTAATGCCAATCTGCACCATGCTACTACCAACGTAGGGAAACTTACATATATTTGTATTCACGTGAAAATAACTTAACCTAACCTTGTAATATAACATTATCTTCTCTAACTTAAAGCAAACGTGAAAAATATAACATGGTTACAAAACAGAGTTAAAAATTATAAAACCACTTTATTTATAAAAATCACTAGCCTCAAAAAGGAATATTACAATGTTCAACGGAAAAAAGAATGGATCTCTATCCATCCTTTTGCAGTCTTTTAGACACAAATATTCCACAAGATGACTGTCCAACTTATTTTACTGTAAACCACCACGTGAGAGATAACGACATAAGGGGGGCCATTGGCTTTTAATAGTGTTTGTGATAACACCTGTCACTGGGTCCATAAAATTAAGAGAATGATTCACTGTCATGTGAATAAAATTGTTGTGATAATAGTTGTTTGAGGTTGTACATGTTATTGAATCAATAGCAAAATAATATTAGCACCCCTTCCATTTCCAGGGCAAATCTGCAATCTAATTTCCGTGGTTTTACGATCAATGAGGCCAAGCACCCAGTTGCCTTCCACTACGTGACCTCTAATTTTATTTTCGATGTCTCATTTTGCACTTGTCAATTTCTACGACCCAGATAGGTCCACTAATTCTCAGTGCTTGCAAATGCCTTATATACATAGCATCCATGCAAACTTCACGCAGAAACAATAGCCACTCCGCAGCCGTCTTGTGACTGTTTTTTGTCTTCTTCGAAACACTGAATCACAGGAGCAATACAGAGACAAATTTTGGGAGGAGAAAATTAAAGTTTTGGTAGAATATGTCGTATTGCAGATTTTGGAAAATGTTGCAGGCTACACTCGGCTCATGATGCGTTATGATTTTATTTGTTTTAATTATATTTCAAAAATATTTTTGCTTGAAAGTTTCATGACAAGTTAAAACTAATTGTTATTGAAAAATTTTTGGGGGGGAAATTTCCCTAATTTCCCTCCCCGTGCAACTGTGCCTGCAATCACAATATCTTCATATGTATATTTATATGCAAAGCAATACATAATTTGAAGAGCTTGCTTGACAGTTAATGTACCATTTCCAAAAATCGTACTTCTTGTTTGCAGCAATTTTCACCCTTGAATGATTCTATTGGCACAAGAAGTCTCCAAATCCCTTTTCTCTATTCCCAGTAGCTGTTAATAATATTCCTTGATCCGGACATGGCATTTGAGTGGGAACAAGTTGATGTTTGTTGTCTCGTTTCCCATAGTATTTGAAAAATTATCCAATTCATTTTCTGGTTCATGATGAAATTCAACATTGAAAGCTACTAATACCTACGTAGATTACAAAGGTTAGCAGTACGAACCGTGAATATGTATATTTGTTGTGATGGCAAACCTATAGTGACATATGAAGAAATTCGCTATCCCCCCAACATGTAAAGAACAGCAAATGATTTGAAATGTGGCAGTTGATGTATTGAAATTAACATTTTGATCACTCCCAAGTTCATCTATTGCGATTCTTAAGGAATCTCAAAAGAATATATGATTTGATATTTAGTGGGTTATTGTTTCTAATCATTGAGCCTATTGATCACCATCAAAAATGTAGTTGTAAAATTTTCCCTATTTGCTGATTAGATTCTAAATAATTTAATTGACTCCACAGTATAGCGTACAGGAGCAATGTCTTAATGCAAGTGTGTACATGGGAAGCCACCATCCTCTTGTCATGTACCATGTCTGGGAGGTGCCTGAATATCTGACATTCTGTTTTTAAAGACATCTTTTCATTTTTTAAAAAAAACAAACATTTAACAGAAATATGAAGTTTAAGCTAATGTTATTCTAGGGATGAAAGGCTTAAGAATACATGACATGTTAACTAATGTTTTAAAGTTAATATTGAAATTGACTTAGCCCAACTGACTTATGTTGGTATTTTTCACATATTGAAGTGTGATGTTTCCCTTTTGGAAGCTGACAGACTGCAGCGTATGCTTAGAGACACATCACTAGGGAGTATTGGGTAACTTGATTTTTACTTAATCTTTGTAGGGAGGGGGCTTAGTGTGTTAAATCACTCGCTGTGGTCCACCCTGCTGCCATGGAATGCCATCTTCCTTGAGTATATTGGCGGTGCCATCTCAGAAAATATCTTGCATGTGTTGTATACCGTTGTATTCACGGCTGTTAGAAGTTCAGAAAACCTAGCAAGTTATTGGCGTTTGTTTATATAATTTTGTGGATGCATTGTGGAAGGTAAAGGACACAGGGTGACCTTTGGAGAGATGTGCTAAAATGGTAACGGTTGGCGAGAAGAGAAAAAGGGAAAAGGAGAAAGCTCTTCTTGAAGGGATGATTTTGTGATCTCGAAATTTCTGGCTAATGGCAAAGACTTCCTAGTGAACAGGTGTTTGCGTGTTGTGGCTCATCCCATAGGTACATTATTTCTGTGTTTATAATTCCACTAAAAAATAAATATTCATGAAAAATACATGGTAAATTAAAAATGTTAAATTCATTGAAAATCTGTGGTCTTGTCAGTTACTACCAGGACAAAATCAAAGCCTAACAATTGAAAAAATAATTCAGTATAGCTTAAAAATTAAGTTATTAATAACAATCGATTGACAAATCTTATAACAATTAGAATATTTGAGGGTTGGGGCATGGCAACTCTTTTAGGGAGGGGTGAGAAAATGAGCTTGTTCCAAAGCATTATAGCATATACAAGTTCACAACATTCCAGAAGCCTTACATACCTATTCTTAAGGCCTGATTAAGCAAATGCTCGATTACTGCACATGCCACATTAGTCGACACACTTGCAGGTCCTCACATGTGTTGCTAATCACTGGTTGCTGTATGTCATTGCAGAAGCTCTCCTGCCCATCTGTAGTCAGACAACTCATTTCACATTGCTCTTTGTGCTAGTAGTCGCCCACATAGCCACCTGTTGTTGTGAACACACATTAATACAGCATTTCTTTCAGTTGACAAATAAAATTGTGCGATTCAATAACCTTTCTTTTAGAAAAAATAGTTGCCAGGACTTTTGCCCCAATCCTTTATGTAATCCAATCTTCATCTGAAATAAATTGTAAAGAATTAACAGAATTTTTTTTGTGTTCTGTGTAGAAGTTTTGAGCTTCTGAAAAATTACCTCAATTCATTTGTGAATAGGCCTTGTATTCGTAATCTGTTTGTTCTTTGTTAACATGTGATCATTAGTTTGTTATTCTTATGGCCATGTTTGTTGCAGGGAAATGGACAAAATGGATCCGCAGGAAGAAAACCAGCTGCAACCATAATTCCTAACAATACAAACATGAATGTGGAGTCATCTGGTATGGCAATGCCTGGTGGGATGAGTGGAATGGGTCACAATCCTCATGGACAAATGCCTAACATGGGTGCACCTCAACCTCAGATGCAACCCTCTCTACCTCATCAACAGAATCAGGGCTTCAATACATTAGGTCACCAGAACCAGTCTTACAATAGAGACACTGCTCCTTACCATGACATGTATCATCAAAACATTCCCCAGGGTTCTGGCAGCTCATATACAGGTCATGGGTACAGTGGATCTGGATATGGTCAAAGCAACAGTAGTTCAAGTTTTGGTGGTATGGAAACCCATAATTATGGCGAAGGTCATCATACTGCTTATGATTGCAGTAGTGGTGGCACATATTACCAATCTACAAATGTTCGTGATCAAGGGAATTACAATCCATATTATGGGAACAACCAGTCTGTGAACAATGATAATAGTTTTCAATGTAATCCAAGCAATTCAAATTACTGGCATACCAATCATTCATCATATTATCAACAAAATGTTCATTCTGATAGTACAAATGCTGGAAGCAGAACAAATCAGTATTATGGAAGTAGCACTGGTTCACATTATGGTAATTCAGACCAGTCATATTATATGAATCATCAACAGAATCAAAACCAAAATTTTGGAGGACAAATGAATGGAAATATGTATCACAGCATGGGGACCACCGAGGGTTATGGAAACAATATGGGACATATGCATTCAGGAAGAGGCCAGCAAACCCAGATGGAAGAACAATCTGAGCAAAGAATGAGGAATTCTCAGTCAATGTTAGGGGCACAGACTCATCAAATGGGAAGTGTTTCAACTCATATGGGAACAGGCCATGGACAATTGAATAATTGTCCACCAGGCATGCAAGGCCAGAACATGACACCGAATCAAAATATGACAGGTCAAACTATGAATCAAAATATGCAGGGTCAAAGCATGCACAATTCAGGGGTTCCAGGTCAAACTCTGCACAATCAGGGTATGCAAGGTCAAAACTTGCAAAATCAAGTCATGCAAAACCAAAACTTGCAAAACCAGGGCATGCAAAGCCAAAACTTGCAAAACCAGGGCATGCAAGGCCAAAACTTGCAAAATCAAGGCATGCAAGGCCAAAACTTGCAAAACCAAAATATTTCAAACCAGGGCCATCAAGGTCAAAATATCCAAAATCAAGGCATGCATGGGCAGAACATGGCAAACTCAAGTATGCATGCTCAAAACATGCCTAATCAAAATATGCAAGGACAGGCTATGGCAAATCAAGTTTTACAGAACCAAAATCTCTCTGGTCAAGGTATGCAAGGTCAAACTATTTCAGGACAGACCCTCCAAACACAAGGTATGCAAGGCCAAAGCATGCAAAATCAAAGTCTGCAAAGTTCTAAACAAAATGTGATGGGAGGAGGAATGTCAGGTCAATCTCAAAATATGGAAAATCAAAACATGTCAGGACAATTAAGTACCAATCATAATCAGCTTGGAAATCCTAACCAGTTGGGAAAATCACCCAATTCAAGTGTGAATTGTGGAAATCAAATATCCAGCAGTGGCCAGTTGAGCAGTGTTCAAAGTATAGAAAAAATGTCTCAAATGTGTAATTCTCCTACACAGAGTAGAGGTAGTATGCCACCACAAACTAGCCCTCTCGGAACTCAGAAAGCTGTAATGAGTGGAAATCATGGCAATAGTGGAAGCACAAGCAGTGTAAATGATGGACAAGGAAATCTCCAGCCTATGATACATTCCCAGCTTGATCCAATAGGAGCAATGCAAAATTCAGGTCACATTAATCAGGGTTTGAATGATATGCAAAATCAAATTAATATTTCTGTTCCATATCACAATTCTGGTGGAACTGCTGAAGTAAACAGCAGTCAACAAACATGGCATTATGGTCACCAAGGAATGCAAGGGGATAATAGAAACAGTAGTTGTGGTTCATATGACCCCATGGATTCATATACTAATTCTGGTAGACTCTGTGATGTTAAACCTGATGTCAGAAAAATGTCATCCACCCATAGTGATCCTCTTTGTGAAATGGGCTCCATGTACAATCGGTTTCCTACAAAAGATGAAAAACAGGAGAATTCAGATCAGTGGGGTTCAGGTGAAATACCAACAGAACAAAATGTATTAAATGCAGCAGTGAAGTGTGATCCTGGTGATAATTTTGAAAATAGTTCTGAAGTCAAAAGTACCGTGAAATCTGAATCATCTTGCAGCATGTCTGTGAGAGCTCTTTCTCCCCAAGATTCCAGCCAGTCTCAGAGCATGTTAACATCTCCCAATAAAAATTTGTCAGAAGATTCTTCCTCCTTGAATGATAAAAGTGAAATTGATAAAGAATGTGAACAGTCTCAGTTGGTGACGCAGTGTAGTTCTCCTTCAGGAAAATCTACATTTGGTAACGGTGCTCAGACTGATGCAAAAGGAACAGAGAGTGAACGGAAGTGCACAGACATCAACCAAGAAGGACAAGACCAAAAAGTAGAAGCAAAGAGTCAAATGACAGATGCATCCTGTATCTCACCCAATTCAGAAAGATGTGAAGAGAAGAATAAAGATACAGAAGCTCTTCCTGAAGACACCAAAGTCGTTGAAACTGAACAATGTACCAAAAATATGGGTAGTGGAACAGACACAGGAGAAGAAGGAAATAAAGATGTGACTGACAAGAATGCATCAGATGTAAAGCCATGTACTGATCCTCAGTCCAACATGAAAATTTGTACCAAAGAAGATCCTGGGATACCATATGACTGGGTAAGTGTCTTACTGTAAATACATGCAGGTTTGTGAAGTTAAAATAATTCATTTATTTCTTGGAAAATAAAAGCTCTTTGGGATCCTAGGCTGATATTTTTTTCTTTTTCTGTGGAACATTGTTTCTCAAGTAATACAACATACTTCACTTTCTATGTAAGAAATGGTAGTGAACAGTTATAGTATATTAGTAAATTTGTGCAGTGGAAGAAAATAACGAACCTTCCTTGAAAATTACAACTAAATGATAGTATTAATAGGGGCGGATTTTGATGAGTTAAAACATCTCAAAAAATGATCAATAAAATGCTCTTACAAGATTTTTAAAATGCCCTAAAAACAAATGTGATCAAAACCAGTTAAGATGATCGACTCAAGCTGTTGGATACGTTACTGATGTAATCAAGGCTGCTTCTATTCATGCAAGTGAACTCAGCTTTCAAAAGTTTGGTTAGGACTGTTCTTTATCAGGTAATCTCTGTCTCTAGTTATCCCCAAATCAGCTGAACCGCCAATGGCACTGACTGATAGGAGTCACAGGGACCTTAGAGTACTTATTCAATGGCTGACATTACAATTTCTGAGCAAAGAAATCAAATAGGCTACTCAGGAATTCTGTGGAGAACATTTGTTACATCTTGTAAATATTTTTTGAAGCAAGTACAATTAAAATGATATTAAAATTGTTGAAATCTGCAAAAAATGCATTAAAAATAACAGAAAAGTATACAAAATGACTTATTAATTGAAATCAACAAAAAATGCAAAAAAAGGCATAAAAATGGGTTGTTTCCTTTTGTCGTTACAATATTAATTTCTATACTAGACGGCATTGTTCTGAAGTGAAAAGGAAAAATAAAATTTCATTAAAACCCACCCCCTTTTAATTAAGTCACTTACTTTGTAGTCTCCTCAAAACCTCTTAATAATAAATATAATAGTGACAATTATTATTATATTATATTTGAGTTTTTTATACTACTCATTGATGTGCAATGCTTCTAATTCCTCTTGAGTTCCAAGTTTTAATAACAGTGTATAATGATCAAAAATGTCAAATGTTTCAGATAAATCTTGAAACAGACCAAAGGGAATTTCTTTCTGATCTAGAGCGACAAATATGTATTTAGAAAGGAGAAGATAGCTGGTTATAGATCTGATGTTTCTGAATATGGGTTGGGCCTGTTAGTTTCAATTGAGGATGATAACAAAAAAACTTAAAAATAAATGTATATGTACATTATATATATGTATATGTATGTGTTCTACAAAAACGTATGTACCACTGGAGCTATTACTTGCTAATTTGACACAAATGCTATTGAGAAGCCGAAATATAGGAAGGTTTACAATCCCAAAATGTTACCACAAAATTGGCAAATTTAGTATTTTGATGGAGGAGGCAGATCTTAATAGATTGTGATAATTAGGGCCCGGATGCTTATAACCGAAAAATATTAGAAATATGCAAGCATTTATGACCTAAAAGATACGAAAATATGACCACAAATATCACTTTAAAATGTTTTGGTTGCATTTTCAAAAGCAAAATCTTTCCACTTTTTAAAAAACCATTATATTGAAAATATACTTCTCTAGTACCTTCACAATTCACTCCTTCTCCTTTGGTGCTCCATGAAGACGATTTTACCAGCTAAAATGATTTATAGAAGCGGTTGACGTAGGCACAAAAACTAACCAACACTTTCTTCACATCTAGTGCTTACTATGGTTTCTTTTTCTCCTTCTGTATAGCTTACCCTCCCAATTATTGTATGTATACATTTATAGGGCAGACCAACAGTAATTAAAAGTTGTCTGTTAAAAGTAGGTAATTGCCTCATCTTAATTCGTCCTGTATGTATTGCAGTATATTTATTTTATTCATTGTTTCACACTGCTAGAAATTATTTACCCGAAGAAGCAATTATCAGTCTGTATTGTGAATATTTTTCAATTGATTTAAGGAGTGTTAGGAAACTGTCATTTGGTAGGCATATTTTTTTAAATCATCTGTCATGACGGGCAGATTTTAATGAAGTGTCATTTTTCTTCTTTTCACTTTAGAACAATGCTGTTTAGTATAGAAATTAATTTTAAGTTATGACAATAGGAAATGACCGATTTTATTTTCTTTTTTTGCATTTTTTCTCGATTTTGACTAATTAGTCATTTTGTACCGTTTCCGTCATTTTAAATGCATTTTTTGCTGATTTCATCAGTTTTATGATACTTGCTACAAATAATATTTACGAGATGCAACAAATGTTCTTCACAGAATTCCTGAGTAACCAATTATTCGTATTTGTAGTTGAGTATTTGATTTCTTCGCTCAGAAATTGTAATGACTTTAATTGTTAATATATAATCTAAGGTATAATTTAAGGGTGCTGTGACACCTGTCAGTGCCATTGTTGGTTTGGCTGATTTCAGGATAACTAAAGACAGATTTCTTGGTAGAGATCAGTCCAAACAAAAAGTTTGCAAGCTGAGATGACTTGAACTAATGGAAGAAGCATTAATTACATCAATAATGTATCCAACAGCTTGAGTTGTTCATCCGAACTAGTTTTGATCACATTTGCTTTTCGGACATTTTTGCACCCTTTTAAGAGCATTTTATTGATCATTTTTGGCGGTTTAGGTCATCAAAATACATCCCTAGTCAGGTGTATGTACCGCAGGTGTATACTGTACAGGTGTATGCACCACAGGTTTATAAGAGAACAGAAGAACTAGAGAATTATTGAAGCCAGTTAAAGTTGTTTGAAATTGTTTTGTATACAGAAAATTGAGTGGAAAGCTATTTTGATATATTTGGAGGGGAGAAATTTATTGACAGCTCATGTTCGTCCTCTAAAAATCAGAATGTTGTGCTTTATTTTTACTTGGTATCCTTGTGAAACTGAAGCAGAATGTATTTTACTTTTATTTGTAAATTGAAATTATATTAATGTTGGTGAATTTTTTGCAGGCAACTGAATTATTAAAGAATTATGTGCCTGGTTCGATAGAGAACTCTGCAAAAATGGAAGTATTTTTCTGTATCTTGGAAGAATCCATGGCTCTAGGAGATCGCATGTTGGTGTTTAGCCAGTCTTTGTTTACATTGAACTTGATTGAAGATTTTTTGCAAAGATCTAATTTACCTGGTAGTCAGGAAAAATGGTCACGGAATTGGAATTATTATCGTAAGTAGAGTAGTTTCAAATTTGATTACTGTTGAGAGAGCCTGTAACATTGGTCAATTATGAATATTTCTGTTTTGTTTGTGTTAATTATCTACGCAATGATGAACGACTATGTCTGTTTTATGTATGTGTTGCTAGAAAGTTGCACCTCACAAAATATCTGTTTCTGTGCTGTTGTCCCTGATTTTACTATTGATGTCACAGTATTCACTGTTAAAAATAAAGTTTTTTGGTAAAAATTCCAATGCAACGTATTTAAGACTTTCTGAGAAAAGCGTTTTTGAATTTTAGATTTCTTGAAAAAGAAAAAGCAATTTAAAAAATTTGAGTTATTAGGAATTTCAGCATTTCAAACAACGATCAATGGGCGTGTCATAACCCAACACTCATAAACCAACTTGGGAAATCACAAAAATTTGTTTTTTAAATAGCTTGACAAACTTGAGAAAAACCTATTAATAAAAAGGAGAAGAAAAAAAAGAAAAAAGAAAGGGGGGGGGGGAAGGAAAACAAATTCCTAAATTATTAATGAGAACAGGGACCACAGTTCAGAAACTGATATTTTGTGGTGTCAGTAAACTTTTTAGTAACATTGTAAGATAATCCTATTTTGAACAAGTTAGGTAACAACAGTCTTATTGGGATTTTTTATGGACTTTTATTATTCTTTTATATTTATTATTCTCTATTAATCCTTTGTTTTTCAAATGATGGGTTTGGTCTTCATTTGATTTTATGTGAGTATGCGAGTATTATAACATGTTAGAGAGGAAAGCTAATTAAGACTTTGTTGTAGGATTGGATGGAAGCACCAGTGCTCTAGAACGAGAGAAACTTATTAATGAGTACAATTCAAATTCTAATATACATCTGTTCCTGGTGTCGACTCGTGCTGGTTCACTTGGAATCAACTTGGTGGGTGCAAACAGAGTTGTTGTTTTTGATGCTTCATGGAATCCATGCCACGATACCCAGGCTGTTTGCAGAGTTTATCGGTGAGACATGAAATATTCTGCACACTTTTGAGATCATGTGGAGCATGGTGTTTTAAGTTTTATTTTATGGACATTATTGCTCTTGAAAAATAAAAACGAGAAAATCGTGTTGTTTCTCTTCGATATTATATGATTTTAATGGTTCTTTTTATTCCATTGTTCCATTTATGAGTATATTTTAAGGTGAATCATTTTGGAATGATTGACACCAGTAACATGCTTGATATTTTGAATGTACTGTATTTGTATTGTGTGCTCTCCCTTAACATGTGTGTAGTTTGTAAACTATACTTTTGATTGATACCTAAATAGAATGTGCATGTATCTTAAGAGTTCTATGTGCGAGCACAAATTGTGACTGTGCTTTTTGTGGTGTGTTCCTCTAACCAGATATGGACAGAAGAAACCTTGCTTTGTATACCGACTGGTAATGGACAACTGTTTAGAAAAGAAGATCTATGACAGGCAAATTAACAAACAGGGCATGGCTGATCGTGTGGTGGATGAATGCAACCCTGATGCACATCTGTCAATTAAAGAAGTCACAAACTTGTGTTGGGATAATGAAGAAGAAACAGAAGTTAGAGATTTCAGCAAAGAAAAACATAAATACATTGATGTTGTCATGCAGAAGGTTTTGGATAAGCACAGTGCTTTATTGACTAAGGTAAATTGTAATAAAATTAATTGTTTATGATTTTAATAATTTATTGTTAATTAATTTTTAATTCATTAAATATTCTTTTCTGTGCTTACTTTCTTTCTTGAGTGGATAAGATCTGTCATGCTTCCATTTTCAGGAACCTTTTCAGCATGAATCATTATTGGTTGATAGGAAAGAAAAGAAGCTTTCCCAGGCTGAAAAACGTCTGGCAAAGCGCAGCTATGAGTTAGAAAAACAAGCCAATATTAACTATAACCGTCCTCAGTATTCTTATTACCCTTCCTCTGGTGTGTGCAATTCAGGCATGCAGACAAGCCTACAAATAAGGTGATTTTGGATGTAATATCTTAAGTATTTTTGTTTTCAAGCTTACAAATTCTGCCTTTTATATTCACTCCACACGCTTACAATAGTCTTTTATATTCACAATTGTATGCTCAATGCATTGCAATTAAAAAGTTATATTACTGGTAATTTAATTTTTACTGGTAATACTAAGTAAATCCATGTATACATTTTCAATTTGCTCATTTTTCAAATTTTTGCATTGTTATTTTTAAGTCTAAAACCTTCCAATATGATTTTGTAAAATGTCTGTCAGTTTTGCGCTATAAAAATCTGATGTATTTTTAGAAAATACAAAATATGTGGAATTAAGTGTTGTGGGCAATTGTCAC